CTTTTCCCAGTGTAGATCCTTTTTTTTAACATCTAAAAACAACAGTAGTGGGCAGAAGGATAAGTCTTATACATTTCACCCACTGATCATCATGCAGAACTAGATTGTGCCACAGTTGGATTTCCTCTTGACTTCACTTAGTGAAGGACTTTCCTCCAGGAGCTGTACCATTTCAGTTTTGTCTGTAATAGTCCCTTATTCTATCAGCTTCGTCCGCCTTGGGTAGCTATGAGACGTGGAGGAGGGAGAGCACATAGCATCTTGTAGATTGTTCAACTTGGAAGACGTTTGCTTTATTTTCCTTCCTCTTTTGGATTATTATCTACTGTTTAACTGGTCAGAAGGAACGCTGCTCACTGGCTTTGAAACAATGTCCATTCAGATGAAATTTCTTGCTGCTTCTGCCTATGACTCGCATAGGCTGTGCAGGGGTATCAGTCATTCTGCAAAGGTGACCTATAGTATTTCAATATTTCAGAAATTAATTTAAAGCCTTGAAAAGAACCATCCCCAAAATGTAAGTCTGAGTTATTTTAATTTAAGAGAGAAGCTTCCAGCAATATTCCTTTTAAAACTAAGGGATTCCAATGCAGTTCCTGATATCCTCTTGCCTCCATGTTTGAAATCAGCATTACTTCAAGCTTATTGTTCGTGCTATGACTTCTCTAGGGCCTCTGGTACACATTATATTTCAGTCTCAATCAATGTGTTAATTGTGCCAGAGAAACATGCCATACATATATTGTATTTATAGAACCATAAAATGGCAAACCAGTTGCAAAATTATTCCACAAAAAATGTGTAGTATATTTGTGGCTGGTATGTATGGTGCCATGAATTGAGCATGTGGCATGCCCCGTCATCCTGATGCTGGCAGTCACCCAGAGAAACACTGAAGAAGGCAAGGTACTGGGTAATGGCTGACCAGTGGTGGAGTGGTTAGAGTGTGGAGATGGGAAGTCAGAGAGACGTGGGTTCATACCCTCTTTAGGTGACTGATGAGGACCCAGATCCCAGGGCCTCCAGCTCCACAGGAGCATCCTAGCCACTGAATTATTTGGGATGGAGAATTGGAAATTTCTCTCATTTAATTGCCAGTGTATATGCCCAGTCTGAATGTGTATGTAGTCAGTTGTGTGCAGAGAGCTGTACATTTAGAAATACAATGCCAATAGGGTACAAATAGAGCGCGCACCTAAGTAGTATTTTTGGCATGATAGTGACCAAATCTGGACACTTCAACAATCGGGAGGTATTAGAATCTACCCCCATCCTCATTTCTGTGCATCTTACAAGTTTTTGACTGGTTTGGTCTCTAAAAGAAGAATTCTGCTTTAAGGCTTCAGTCTTTTCCTAAACTAGGGGAGCTTCTGTTCTGTTGCCGTTTGCTTTTGGGATGTCATTTATTTTACTTGGCCAGGCTGTTAAAAACACCTTTGAAGATGCATCAGGTATTAAACGTGGTGCTTAGGGGGTCTCTAGATTTCATCTTTTTAAACAAAACAATGTTGGCATTGATCTTTCATCTTTGGTAGCATTAGTTGAGTTGCCAGTTACTGTATTACTGTTTTGTTTTGGGACGTTCCTTCAGTTACTTAAACTGAAGGGCTTCGACTCCTGCTCACATGGTGCCTTGCAGAGCAATAATGTAAATTATTTCTTCAAATTATTTTTTGGGCATTTCTGAGTTTATTGCTTCTTGGCCTCTTGAAGGCTTAGATCAAGTGTATTACCTCTATCTGCTTTACTAAAATGTGAAGTATGATGCAATAATAAATATAATATATTTTACTTATCTTCTATTAGCAGATGGTTACAGCAGTTCAGACTCGTATACTTCAGATCCAGAGCAGATTGGAAGCACTGTTACGCGACAACGGTCAGTAGAGTAGCCACCAAAAAATTATTCACGGTTTCTAAGTAGGATAAACTGCCTGGTCTGATTTCTTGGGCATTCATTAAGTAGCTATTTCAACTGCAAGATGATGTGTGGTAGCCCTTAATTTAACAACCAAGAGCTCTGGCATCAGTCTGTTGCCTAGTATGGTAAAAAATGTACATGTCTGCCTTTCGTAAATGTGTACAACTAAAACTTGACAGAATAGCATTGCTTAAAGTAACAACCCTACAACTTCATGATACAGACTTCTTTCTGAAATGTAGTTACCTAGCATACTGTCAGTTTCATTCATTTAAACTTCAGTAGCTATTTCTATCAAGAAGCTAAATATAACATCTTATATTTGAGGAGTTTTTACAAACTGCTTAAAAATAATACAACATAAAGTATAGTGTCTCCCATTTATGGGGCTGTTTACAGTGGCGCTGAAAAAGAAGCTTTACTGTTAGACTACATTAAAATCAATTTCAAATATAAGCTTCAAAACTAAATTAAGATGACTTCACCTTCATGTTATAATTAACTTTAAAGTACTTGAAAACATTTTTTTCCCAATATTAATGACAAAATTGATCCTTTATACAACATTCACATACAAATTTACATTATCAAAATGATGGTTTTCTGTTCAGTTTTTTTAATTATCCTTGGTTTTTGCTGGTTCCCTCTAATTGCTTAAGGAGTGTCTACTCATTTTTAATTTTTGCTTGGTCTTTTTTCCTGATTGTATAAAGTAAGCCAGACCTTCCGTCTAACCGTTTCAAGTCCTGAGGAAATCTAGTCAGGAAATCCTTTCCACCTTCATCTTTCTGTTCCTCCTTTGACATGATAGTATGTAGGAGATTCTGTCCTGTCTAGTTCATTGAGATGACCAGTACCTGCTGTTGGGGACAGTTTTCCCAATATTAGAGGTGCACCGATGCATCGGTCCATATCATATCGGCACCAATAAAAGGAAAATTGACATTATCAGTAGTCGGATTTTTTTGGTTAATGTGGCTGATAATGTTGCCGATTTTTAAATGCCACGTGCATGGGCGCATGCACACAACCCGGAGTCCAGCCCAGCAGCTTGGAGAGCAGCATCCAGCTGGTAAGTCTGTTGTGGGGTATGAGGGGGTGGAGATCAAGGCCCCTGTGGTGAGGGAGGGAGTGGGGCAGGGGTAGGCACCGCACAGGCAGAGTGGGGCACGGGATGGAGCCACAAGTGGCTTGTCTGGGGGGGGGGGGGGCTCCTGCCACTGTGTACACCCCTGGGGGAGGATGGAGGGCATGTGCCCCCCCCTCCCCCCCCCCCGCATCTGGATCTGTGCGCAGAGCAAGGGTGGGCTGTGTGCTTGAGGCCCGAGGCAGCTCCAGGCTCTTTTTGGTGGTGGGGGTTAGGCCAGGGTGAGTGGAGGGGGGAGCTACTGGGTGGGCTACAGCCACCCCAAAACCGTAACCCCCCCCCTTCCCCGCCCTGCTGCCGCCCACCCTAAGTATAGCCCTAGCCCAGCCCCTTGCTGGGAACAGGCTGGCACAGCCCCTGGCCCTGAGTCTGCATTGGGGAGCCTGCCCCCAACCCGCGCACAAATCCAGAGGGCACATGCTCCCCATACTGCCCCCAGGAATGCTCGCAGCAGTGGAAGCTCCCCACCGCTCCCAACAAGACACTCGTGGCTCCCTCCCATGCCCCTCCCTGCCCTGGCTGCCCCCGCCCCACTCCCTCCGTCACTGCAGGGACTTTGATCTGCCACCCCACGCCCATTTCCCCAACCCACCCAACCAATTTACCAGATGGACACTGCTCTCCAAGCTGCTGGGCTTGCATATTGGCGATTGGATCGGTATCAGCCAATATGGCTCGTTAATAATCGGCCATTGGTATCAGCCCAAAAAACCTTCACCGATGCACCCCTACCCAATGTACATTGGATCCAGATTACAGCAGTGGCTCAGGCCAGAAGTCAGGGGGGTGCTAGAGCATTCCTCCCGGCTCAGCTGGAGCAGACAGCGTGGTCCAAGACTAGCCTGCCCACCCTGTGAGCGGGGCAGTTTGTGGGGGAGGTGCAAAGCATCCTGGGGGCCTGGGAGTTAACTTGAATCTGGAGGGGATCTTGGACAGAAGTTCAATCAACCTATTTAACCTAAATCAGTTAAGTTTGATACAGGTTTACCTTAAACCAGTTCCAATCATTCTGAAAGTGGTTTATGTGCACTGAACTTCTGTTGTATTAGATTTGAACCAGTTTCTGATCAGTTATACTGGTTTGTGTGTAATGTCTGTCCCCTACCCTTAGAAAAATCTTTTCTGTTTATGGCCTCAATTATGTTGAAGAAATTCAGTTAGTATTCATTATTAAATATGTTTGTCAATATATTGGCCTATTTAGGAAGTAAGGTTTAAAGTCTCTGAAAGTTACTTTTTATTAAATGACTACATTAAAGGCATTCCAGATAATAGATGTCATTCAGATAGCACTGCACCAGTGTGAGACTTAATCTCCGAGGCCTCGTTCTGAATTTGAGCCATATTGCAGTTGCATTAGATTTTTTCATTAGATGGTGATCCTTCACAAGTATATAAGGAATCTGTCTCAGGAATTTAAAACAAATGTGCCAGGTGTTGAATCGCTCAAATTTAGAAGCTAGCAGCTTGGGGCTTCCTTATTTTGTTTAGCCTGAAGGCTTGCAGTCAGAAATTCTTGATGGTCTTTAATATTGTCCCGCTTGAATTCATCACAGTCCTTATCACAGTGATTACCAGTCTAGACCCTTTCCTTGATTATCAGAAACCATAGGCTTCACCAAATAAATTACAGGAGACCGGATGAAAGTGTAATTTAAAGGGCTAAATCGGATTTGGGGAAAAAGATGGGAAAAGTATAAAAATAAGACATTTAACTATAACAAAATTTACTTCCTCTTAAAAATAAATTTGGCTGGTAGAAAGGGCTGAAGGCTACTGAAACAAAACATCTTCATGTGGAAATTTAACTTTCTGTAGTTCTGGCTGTGCTGTTATGAAGCTGTTTGTGCTTTGCAGGTCACATTCAGGAACATCTCCAGATAACACTGCACCACCGCCACCCCCTCCCAGGCCTCATCCTTCGCATTCTCGATCATCATCTTTAGATATGAATAGGTCATTCACGGTTACCCCAGGTAGGTCCATTATCAGTTCTCCTGTTTATCTTTTGTTCAATACATGTATACCTTAAACACTGGTGAATCTATTTTAAAAGTAGTGCTTTTAAACTGAAGAGCTATGTGTCAAATTGTCATTATCCTTTGTATTAAATAAAATTGTGGCATATAAAGAGCAGTGTAGTTCAGTGGATAAACATGGGAATTGGATCTAGTCATCTAGCCAAGTACTGCATGTTTCAGTAACTTAAAAATTAAAATAGGAGTTCTTGATAGATGCAGACCCATGAGAAGAGGCAATGAGATGCATAGCTTCCAAGTCAATAGTACAGCCAGCAGAAAAAAATGGTGTTTATAATACTGCACAGCCAGTCAGTGCCTTCCAGCTTAGGATCTCAAATCACTATGTAAAGTTATTTAAATTTTTTTTTTCTTTTCTTTTTTTTTTTTTTTTTTTTTTTTTTGCGAGGGGATGAGGGGGGCAGGGTCCTGAGCTATCGAGAAACTGACCCAAATTTATACAGCAGTTAAGAGTAATGTAGATATAGCACCCTGGTCTGATTCTCACTCCTTTGTTTTATCTGTTTGCCAATTTTGTTTGACCAAAGAGGTTAGAACATAACTGTGAAGTATCATGGAATAACAGTTCTTGTTATGACAGATTATATGCAGATGTTATTTGCAGTATTTTATGTCAGCAAATCTAAAAATTGGACAGAAACTCATTATTTACAAAAAGTACGTTCCATACTAAATAGCACCATTAGCTAACAGTAGTTGAAATACTATGTCTCTTCAAAGGACAGCAACAGGCTGGAGTTGTTGCCTACCCCCCTGCAGTGCCTCCAAGACCACAGCCGTCACAGGTGAAGTTGTGACTTATTCCATCTCACTCTCAATTAAAATGTCTTCTTAAGTATACTTTAAAAATTCCTGTCTAACATTTTTCTACTTGAACTATTTGACTTTTCTCTCAAAGTATTTACAAATATGGACCAAAGCCATGGCTTCTGTCACCATAGGGCTTCTCCAGAAAGGTGAGAGGAACTGCTCCTAGGGAAGTCCCAGAGAAAAAAAGGATGTATTTAGGCCTGAAGTACTTCTCATTTGAGATTAAGTGGAAGAGTGACTGCTTCTTAGGGCCTTATGGGATGGGGATACAAGAGGAAATTTACCACCATTCTTATACCTTTCCCAAATTTCCTGTGTAGCATAGTGCTGATCTGCTACCCAAAGTCTGCCCTCTAGATTCTGAGGTGCAAGTACTAATAATCCTATGAAATTTAAATATCCTTGTTCACATTCTTTTTTCCACCACAATTGGGACAGTTACTCTCACCCCATTCTTTCTATTGGGGACTGCAAACGCAGCTTCCAAGAATCTATTTGTCCCTGGTACTTACTACTCTCATGCAGTCAAGCCCATAACAAATATTTTTGGTTTATGTTATACATATCACAGACTTTTGGGCTCGCTTTCAGATATTGACCCCTTTCAGTCATTCATTCTTCCTGATATGGTGTTTGTATATTTTTTTTCAAAGGAGAAGGGGGAAATGCATTTTTACAGTGGTAATGATGAAACTATCAAGATTGGCAAAAAGCAGGGAAAGGAATATAGTAATGAGGTGTCATAACTAAGGACCTACTGAAACTGATTTTGTAGATTTCATGAAATGAGTCTGATTAAAAACAAAACAAAAAACTTACTGAAAATAAAGTGCTAACTCCCCAAAGGGAGCCAGCAGTCCTCATTGCATTTCAGCCCAGTCACTTACACATATAATTACTATCTTCCTTGTTTTGCTGTAGGGCACTGGTCCTCATGTGCATCGCCCAGTAGATGCTGAAGGCCTAATAGCTCATACCAGTACCTCACCTCAACAAATACCAGAACAGCCAAATTTTGCAGACTTCAGCCAGTTTGAGGCATTTGCTGCATCAGGTGTAAATGAAGAGGAAGAAGATGAAATTGAAACACACCCAGATGTCTTGCAGGTAAGCAGAAATGTAGATGTTGTATGTAATAGTATTCTCTTTGGTGATATCCACTTACATATCAGAAGAAAAAATACCAACTCGTTTTTCTTTATAAGTCATAACTTCTTGATTCCAGAAGTCTCTCTGCTTATTCATGTATAGGTGAAGAAGGGTTTGAACCAGTGATTTTTACTGCAAGATTATTCCTAGCTGCCCTGACTTTCCCTA